AATGGCCAGAGATTGGAAGGTGGTAGTCAGTAAGTACAAATGAAGGCTTTAGTTTTTTTAGAAAGACTTCTTTGCAGAATTTGATTGCCAGGTATTAGCTTTTCCATCACAAAGCATTGTTATTTTATGATTTTAATATTTTGCAATTAAATTTTAAAAGGGCTCACAACGTTTATCCTGTATCCGTGCAGAGGAGAAGCCAGGTTTGTTCCCAGGTCAATGTGAATTAGATTTTAGACAGAGTACCATCAGGGACATTGCTGCTGGCTTCAAAACTGAATTAAGGAATGTTGCAAAACACCCAGACTTCTCAATTCCAAATACTGCCCTGCTACAATCTACTGCAAATGTTTGTGTGTGTCGGTTAGTTTAAGACATGATCAGATTATACATTAATCCAATTCACCCCATCCCTCCCCAGTCTCGTAGGATAATCACCTTACATTCATTAATAATGCACATGTGAAAAGTGCAGCTGCAAGTGCAATTAAAATGCCAATTAAAGGGCAGTCAATTTGGATGATGAGCCAGTCAGGAAAAGATTAGTAAGGATGAAGAGGATTGGGTGAAAACATTTTCTTTCTAAAGAAATTTTATGAAATATGAGATTGATGAAACACCAGGTCAAGACATACACAGGCAGGTGGTTTAATGAGGTTTGGAGAAGGCCCAAGGAGCTCTATCTGTGTCATAATAGACAAATGTAATGCCTTTTTTGGTCAAGTATAAGTCATGTCCAGTTTGGTGGACTGACTCCCGCTGCGAGGCAGAGTGAAATGTCTTGCCATACCTTACCAAACTTGCTGCATTAATTATCATTGGAGTCTTCGCGGCAAGAATCGCATCATCTCTTGCCCCATTTTTCCACGCACCATTCACAGAGGAACTCACTGTTCAGTGGGTTCCTCCATAAGACCAGCATTTTTTGGGGTCACGCCAACTTTCAAAGCTGGCTGAGTACCTACAAGAATACTGCCATCTGTAACTTGCGCTTCTTGGTTGAGACAGTGATCAGGAGAGATGGCATGGAAGCTGGCACCACCATTCCCAGAAAGGGACCTCCAGCGACCTGTGAACAGTGTGGTGGACAGGAGGCGTCTCTTCCCGAAGGAATGGCAGAGAAGGCTACACCACCATACCATGCCTTCCTGGTCAGAGATCACCATCCAGAGCAGTGCCATCTCCAGGGTGAGGAAGATTGGGCAACAGTGCAGGAAGAAAGTCAATGATCTTCTCTTGCTCTGCCAAGGTCAGTGCAATACGCTGCTCTCTGCAATCTCACACTTACCTGTGCCACTATACACTCCCTCCCACCAATGTTTCGGCTCTGAAAAGGTCTCCTTTGCATGCAATACCTTCCCTCACTTGCTCTAGTCAGTACCCATCCTCCCACACCCTAACCCTGCATCCTCTCCTCACTGCCTTTTCACTCTCTCAGAACACCTCAGCACCTTTCCCCCACAAGCACCAGCTCTACAGGCCATGCCACCCACTTATATTTTGTTCATTTGCCTCCTTTACACCATCACATCCCAAAACAATGCAGAATGATGTCAGACAGGTGGGAGGGTTACAGACATCCATGTCTTCACCACCTTGGAAGAGAGACCAGGACCGGTCCTGTGGGAATGCTGGGACATCCATGTCTCACCACCCGAGTAAGTAACACAGGTCATCCCTCTGCAATGTTCACATTAACCAGGCATTGAACACCACTTCTAACCAGTTACCACAATGCTTTCTGCCTTAATGTCTTACAGGCAGACGCGTTGTCTGAAAGACCAGCCTGTCTCCTTTTGACAAGAGTCCCTCGAGTTCCTTAAATAATCATGGGAACGCACTGGAGGGACCATCGTCTGCACTGCCTTTTGAATCTCCAGCATTAGAGACTACATATCACTGGCCTCCTCAAAGGTCCCTCACTAACTTACACACACTTGCAATTCCACATATGGGTGAGGGCAAGATTCCCCAGGTCATATGCAGTCGGACGACCTCGGGAGACCAGGGGCCTGTTGAGCTCTTGGCCACAAGGGACTCACGCAGATGCACAGGGAGAAGCAGCAGTGACAGGCAGGGATTGGCTCACTATCCTTGCTGACACAGACGTACTCCGTTTCCCACTCTCTAAACATGGCATTGAGAGAGGCCATTAAAATCTGCTTAGCCAGTGGGAATTCCAATTTTATGTCAACTTACTCTGGACTCTGGCATCCTTTGGGAAGCTATTGTTCTGCTTAAGTATCACACAAAGACATCTGTACGTTTTAGCTGTTGAACCACAAGCTTGAAGGATTTGCCTTGGCCTGCCAATGACTGTTGTGTTTCCAAATATCTCCACTACAGATACAGTTAGAAGCAAAAGCAAAATTCACTGCCAACCGGTTCAGACAAAAATGAAGTTTGATGGTTTAGTAATGGAAAATGTTATAAATTTATCTAATTATTCAGGAGTGTTTCAATGAGCCATATTTACAGTTCACAGTGCCACCCAGAGGTAGTTCAAAATCTTCCAGTCATTCTAAGATAACACAGGAGCAATACTGCAAAAACCTGAACACCTCAGGTTAGGACACAAGACGAGTGGGTTAGCAAATACCAGTATGTCAAGCAGCAACTTGTCCTTAACAACTTAAAATTACTTTTCGGAAAGAACGGTGCAGAATTTCCTGAACACGTGTCAAAACGATGGCGCAAGTGTAGCAGAATGCTGATTTACAGTGCAAAAAGGCAACTGTGTGTGTTTTAAATTCTACTTCCAGGTTTCCACCATCTTGTACATTGACTCAGTTAAATTTCCAGCCCATATCAAAACAAACTACGTTAAAAGTTGTAATCTTCCATGACTTAATTTTCTTAAAATATGCACTGCATAATGGTTCAACAGCTTTAAATTTTCATTTTCACGCATAATAACAGGCATATTGTGTATGTTGATTGCTTTCCCTCAGGCCTTGATTATTTAGACAGCTGCTTGCTTTACCTATCCACGTACTTTATAAGGTTGCCATAAAATGTTAATGAAAGTTGCTGACGACAAGTGCAGTCACAAAGGTTGTCCTAACACACAAATGTACAGGCAACTTGGCCCCTCAATCCTTCTTCATCATTCAAGATGATTATGGCTGAGCTGAACCACTTTTCCCAGATGACTTTCCATACCCATTTCCCCTACAATTACCAGGAATCTATCTACCTCAGCAAGCACTAATTCTAGATTCTCCCATAAGAGGAAACATCCTCTACAAATCCACCTTGTCAACACCCCTCAGAATCCTATATACAAGTCAGCTCTTACTCTTTTAAACTCTAGTGGACACAAGCCTAGATGTCTAAACTTTCCTCAGGAGAAATACCACCCATTCTAGCTCAACGCTTTCTCTAGTAACTCTTCAGATTAAACAGTTTATTACCAGGTGAACCGTTGCACATTTGATGTACTAAAGAAGAAGGATTTTTTTTACAGACTTAATTCAAGTAACAGTCTTCGATTCAAATTGAATTTATGCAAAAGCAAGTCCTCTTTTATTTAAGCTGCTTGATTTCAACTGTTGAGTTTTTGCAGTCATCTTAAAATTTAAAAAATGACAGTTAAGAGATATTAGATAAATGCAAGTAGTTATTATTTGTATATCCTTGCTCTTGATTACATTGGCAAATTCCCTTTTTTTTCTTAGAGTATTAAAATCCAAGACTAGATGTTAAACAGAATCTTTCTTCAAAGATGACCAGTGAATGAAATATGTTGTATGCTTCTTTTATAAATTAAACTCTTCTTTCATCCTTGACAGCATGTTTACAGATAAATTAGAAAGAATTCAGAAATGTGACCTTTGGAGAGCAACAACCCTCAGTCATAGTAAAAAAAAAGCAAAATATGTCAAAAGCCTGCTCAGCTATTTAAAAAAGTCCATCGCCATATGATTAAAACCTCACTTCATAAATATTCCAGAAGTAATGTTATCGTGTGGCCTCATTTATATTTAAAGGTGCTCAGCCTGCAGGTGATTATTAGTGTTTAACGAGCATATTCTGGGCCTGAGGCACTTTTAGTAAAACAACGGCCTGGGGATGGAGTACGAAAGGGGAACATCCAAGAAACTAGGAGGATGGAGATATGAGGACAGAACTGATAAATTGGTATGCTTTAGCCTCAAAAGGCAGCAAAAGAAAAGGGATCTTCCAGAGGCATTTATGCAGGTACTAAGTCAAATTTTGATTGATTTATTGTCACTTGCATTTTACAGTGAATAATACAGTAAAATACAAAGTTTCAACTTCAAACAGTCAATACTATTTCAAGCCAAACCATACTCTTAAGCTAAAAGGATCCAAGTCTATAATTGGCAATTTAAGTTCAGAACTAATATCAGGACGTTCTTGCATTAAGAATAAAAAATACCCGTTGCCCATGACAGCCTCCTATTGTAAAAGCAGAATCTGTTAGCTATTCAAAAGGCAGTTAGATGCTACAATAGTTGTAGTGTGGGATAAATTGTACGTTTTACATGAAACTGAAATCATGTCAATTGGCCTCCGTTATATGCACTTACTTCCATGATATTTGGTAATGCAAAAACTACTTGTCGGAATAAAGTTTTAAAACACCTTATGACAGCTATGGGAATCATTGCCAACTGTATAAAAAAAGTCTTATCATTCCTGCATCTGCAATTCCATTAGGTTGGAGTGCAAGAATTTCTGTGAATCTTTAAAAATTCTACTACATGATAAGATTGGAATAGATACTAATCAAATTTCTCTTTGCCTACAGTTTTTTTGACACATCTATGATTTTAATGGAGAGTGTCCTTTACTGTAAGATGTATTCTAAGGTTTTATGGACTACACCTGCTTTCTTTTCTACCTTTCGTGACGTTCTCAACCCATTGCCTTAGCTGTGTTTTGATTTTCTGTGGCATTTGAATCCACAGATGCGCAGTCATTTTCATTAAACTCTTCAAGAATGTTATGAAGGATAGGATTGTAAATTCACTAACCTGTACTTCCCTGTCCTTACTTGGACAGCCTTCATGCCACACTGCTGGGCTCCACCTACATCATTCACAATATCATCTCCAATCATGATGACCTGTCAAGAAAGAATGAGGCATTTGATGTCAGAGTAGATTATTTTGATGTGTTTGCATTTCTCAGAATGTTTGATGTAAACTGTCACCAAGATGAATTAGCTGACATTGAACATTGTCATTGAACAAGGGGATATTGGAATACAGTATACACAACACATGGAGATGGCAGGTTGTGAAAGGTGGACAGTCAATTAACAGCCATCAAATCACCAAATTATTATCATTAGCTTTTCCAAAGATATATTTAAACTGGACTGTTTTGAATCCAGGTCTGCACAAGTAAAGGAATCAAGACAAAAATACGAATTTTGAAAAAATATAAGTAAAAATTGAACTTTTTTTTAAGAAAAGTGCAGAATTGTTGTGAATGTGTGTCACACTGGAGTTCTACATGACAAGGCAGTGAGACAGCCAGCTGAAAGGATTTGACACCTTCTGATTCTAACATGTTTGAGGGTCAGATTGCAAATTGACAAGTGTTATATTTTCAGTATTGTTGTATAGAAGTGAGCAACTTTCCTTGCAATTAAACAAAGGGAGGAATTGAGTATGATGAAAGTAGATGGAAGAGAAGTCTTCCACTAATTAACTTGCGGATAGTAACTTGGCAAATGACACCAAAATTGGAGGTGTAGTGGTCAGCGAAGGTTACCTCAGAGTACAGTGAAATCTTGATCAAATGGGCCAATGGGCCGAGGAGTGGCAGATGGAGTTTAATTTAGATAAACGTGAGGTGATACATTTTGGGAAGGCACATCAGAGAAGGACTTATAGACTTAATAGTAAAGTCCTGGATAGAGTTGCTGAACAAAGAGACCTTGGAGTGCAGGTTCCTGGTTCTTTGAAAGTGAAGTCACAGGTAGATAGGATAGGGAAGGAGGTGTTTGGTATGCTTCCCTCCATTGGTCAGTGCATTGAGTACAGGAGTTGGGACGTCATGTTGTGGCTGTACAGGACATTGGTTAGGCCACGTTTGGAATACTGCATTCAATTCTCGTCTCCCTGCTATGGGAAGGATATTGTGAAACTTGAAAGGGTTCAGAAAAGACTTAGAGGGACATTGCCAGGGTTGGAGGGTTGAATCTATAGGGAGAGGCTGAATAAGCTGGGGGTCTTTTTCCTGGAGCATCGGAGGCGGAGGGTGAGTTTTTAGAGGTTTTTAAATCATGAGGGCCATGGATAGGACAATTAGCCAAGATCTTTTCCTGGGGTGGGGGCATCCAAAACCAGAGGGCATAGGTTTAAGGTGGGAGGGGAAAGATCTAAAAGGGACCTAAGGGGCATATTTTCCATGCAGAGGGTGGTGCATGTATTGCATGAGCTGCCAGAGGAAGTGGTGGAGGCTGGTATAATTACACCATTTAAAAGGCATCTGAATGGGTATATATGAATAGGAAGGGTTTAGAGGGGTATGGGCCAAATACTGGCAAATGGGACTAGACTAATTTAGGATATCTGGTCGGCATGGACAAGTTGGACCGAAGGGTCTGTTTCCATGTTGTACAGCCCTATGACTCTATAAGTCAGTGGTGACGCATGAGTGGGAGACCATAACACAATAAGGTGTAGGAGCAGAAGCAGGGCATTTAACCCATTGAATTTGCCCCACCATTCAATAAGATCATGACTGATCTAATAATCCTCAACTCCGCTTTCCTGCCTTTGTCCTATAGCCCTTGATTCCCTTACCAATAAATAATGTCTATCTCAGGCCTGAATTTATGCACGACCCAACCTTAACAGCCGTCCATGGTAAAGAATTCCACAAATTCACAACCCTCAGAGAAGGAATTCCTCCTCATCTCTGTTTTAGAAGTGCCGACTCCTTATGTCCTCTGTTTCTAACAGTCCCCACAAGTGCAAACTGCCTTTCTGTATCTACCTTGTCAAATCCTTTAAGAATCCTTCATGTTTCAATACAGTGGTGGTGAGATGTCCCCAGTGATTAAGTAAGAAATGCTGAACTCAGAATGGATGAGTAGTATGAGGAGGATGAGGGTGAGCACCTGTTGAGGGAATATAATGCATGCAATAGTGAGAATTGGGGTTCATGAGTTCTAGCTGCAAATGGGAAAATTCAAAGCAGTGTCTTTAAATAGTAAAAAACACAATTAGGAGTTTATTGTGATGGCATTCTGAGGAAAGATTGAGGTGAAGAAAGAGTCAACAGTTCTTGATCAGAGAAGTTTGAGTTCAACATCAACAGCCTTATTGAAATAAAAAGCCACCTATGGTGTAACACGAGAAAAATAGGTGGGGATGGTGAATGGTAACTTGTTGCGAATCTATACCCTTCCTCCAAATAGAACATTCCAGTTTGCTCTTTCAACTCAACTCTGCCATTAGTGAGAAGAACAACAAACAGAGTTAAGGAGAATCCAAAGGGATTCTATAAATACATTAAGGACAAGAGGCTAACTAGGGAGAAAATAGGGCCCCTTAAAGAGCAGCCAGGCCACCTTTGTGCGGAACCGCAGGAGATGGGGGAAAATACTAACCGAGTATTTTTCATCAGCGTTCACTGTGGAAAAGGATATGGAAGATAGAGAACGTGAGGAAATAAATAGCAACATCTTGAAAATTTCCACATTACAGAGGCGGTAGTGCTAGACATCTTAAAGCGCCTAAATGTGGATAAATCCCCAGGAACTGATTAGGTGTACCCTAGACCTTTGTGGGTAGCTAGGGAAATGATTAAGTTAGTGTATCTGGTCAGCATAGATAAGTTGGACAAAAGGGTCTGTTTTCCGTGCTGTATATCTCCATGATTCTATGACCCTACAACAAAATTATTTTGCTTTTACCAGCTGACTGTCAACGGCTGGCTGTTGGGAGAGAATCAGATTTGAGAATATAAAAAAAATTAAAATCCTAAAGGTTTAGCTAATATCTCCATGGTGCTCCAAAATACCAGAGATCCATTTTATCATACTTGCCTAGTTCATGCAAAACTCAGTTAAGTCAGAGTGAAACCAGTTGAACATCTGAGATAGTAGGAACTGCAGATGCTGGAAAATCTGAGATAACAAGATGTAGAGCTGGATGAACACAGCAGGCCAAGCAGCATCATAGGAGCAG